AACTCAGTACATATTTAGATCTCTGAGAGAGAGAGAGAGAGAGAGAGAGAGAGAGAGAGAGAGAGAGAGCATTAAACTGCATTGCCAGTGTGACAAACACAGATCTGTGTCAAAGCACTGAAACACACAGCTGAAATGCTTGTTATGACTGTAAACCGAGTTGTTTCATAAGTGTAAAAGCTGACATACCTCTCACTAGGTGTTTTCAGTGAAGCAGCAGAAATCAGGCAGACGCAGGTATAGTGTGTGTTAGAGCTGCTGCACGTCTCACACTCAGTGCTTGTGAGTAAACAAGCGTCTGCTATCCGTCACATGCATCACACTCACCGGGCTTCCTGTTCTGTGGGTCTCTTTTCCTGTTTACACACACATGTAGAGTGTGATGCACTTCTGCACAGCACGACAGATGCTGGAGCGATTTATACTCTCAATCCAAAGGATGTTCAGGATGAAGCTGCACCTCTCACAAAAACATCTGTGCTCTGCAGGCAATCTAACATGAATGACAGATAAGGACTTCACGTTCTGTGAGATCTAACGAAACGTTTCTAATAAATAAGATGAAGAAAGCTGACAAAAAATACTTCTGCCTTTTATCCACTAATATGCAATGATTATCCCCCCCCCTACATTAAAACTCTTGGTGTATATCTCTAATGACACGATAAGAGAATCTTCATTTTTGGCTGAATCGTTTTTCCCCGCAGGCTATAGTCAGCCTGAACGATTCAAACATTCATAACTATATATTGTCCATCATAACTGACACATTTATACATAGAATACGAAAATTGTACATTTGTAAACTGTACATTTGTAAATAACATATCTGTACATTCATTTAAACAATTGCATGTTTTTTCCTCTATATTTCTACTTCTGTATCTAGTGCATTATTTCATTTTCAGTTTTTCTTATATTAGTGTTATATTCCATCTCTACACTACGCATGTCTGTTGTATCATGTATGTTTGCGCTATGTCTGTACTTTCCTGTCGCCAAGTCAAATTCCTTGTGTGTGTAAACATGCTTGTTGGTAATAAAGCTCTTTCTGACTTCTGAAATATCCCTTCAAGATAACAGTTAGCAGAAATATTGACGACATACATATTAATGAAGGGTCTGAAAACAAGTGGTACGTGTATATTTGGCCATATATGCCATATAAGCCCAATGCGGAGGATGGAGTTCATCTTCACACCGGCGAGAGACGGAGGACTCAAACTCTCATAATGCTCTCAGGCTGTATGTGACTCTGTCAGATGCTTCCATTGACTCACTATATCAGTACATGTTTGTGATTGGATTATGACACCTCATTAATTATCAACACTTAAAGATATCCAGGGAATAGCATATGTGTATGGGAGCACAATTAATAATACATATGTAAAGCTCCTGCACTGTTTTCCTGGTTCGATCAATATTAATGTACATATATCAGCAAACGCATCATCAGGTCATCCGTGTATTTAGATCGCAGCAGTGACCTGATGACCTCCAGGTGTCGTCATACAGAAGGCCACGCCCTTTCTCGTCAACAGCCAATCAGATCCGAGGGATTCTCACGCAGCCCAAGCACTGAAATAAAATAAGCGTGTTGAATGGAAATGATCATGAAGCGATGAATGGAAAGCTTCCGCTTTAATTTGTCAGGTAAGATGAGTCTAAATAATAATGATCTTATTTTAAAATGTTATTATCTAGTTTAAATGTTGACTGTGCAAAAAGCGGGCAAATGCCATTGATCCGGTGTAAAGGACTGTCCGGACTGTTGCAGGCGGGCTCCTGATATCTGTTACTTTTCTCCGCGCTGCACAGGATCGGCCAATCACAGTCGACTGAGATCACTAGACATGTGTGTGTTTACAAATGACTTTATAGCGATTGCTGGGGAAGATTTGCCTGTGTATGTTAGGTACTGTTCTTAATATTTGTAAAAGATTATAACACTTGGAGTTTAAATGTCTGCAGAAAGACAGAGCCCGTGGTGAGATGCTTTATGAGCCGCAGAGCGCCGCCTGCTGGAGAAACACCGAACCATTTTAAAATGTTATTATCTAGTTTAAATGTTGACTGTGCAAAAAGCGGGCAAATGCCATTGATCCGGTGTAAAGGACTGTCCGGACTGTTGCAGGCGGGCTCCTGATATCTGTTACTTTTCTCCGCGCTGCACAGGATCGGCCAATCACAGTCGACTGAGATCACTAGACATGTGTGTGTTTACAAATGACTTTATAGCGATTGCTGGGGAAGATTTGCCTGTGTATGTTAGGTACTGTTCTTAATATTTGTAAAAGATTATAACACTTGGAGTTTAAATGTCTGCAGAAAGACAGAGCCCACCACCGAACCTCTTTTGAGCCGCAGAGCGCCGCCTGCTGGAGAAACACCGAACCTCTTTTGAGCCGCAGAGCGCCGCCTGCTGGAGAAACACCGAACCTCGCCGAACCTCGCCGAGCGAGAACTCGCTCAGTCAGCCATGTAAAGTGCAGGCGATGGGATCCTGTTCCCAGCGAATATTATTCCTGATCTTCATATTTCAGATCGCAGGGAAACATGGTTCAGTCCTGCTCGGCCTACGGATGCAAAAACAGATACCACAAAGATAAAAACATCTCCTTTCATAAGTGAGCTCCACTCCTGTGTGTTTCTATCGAGTCACAGTCGCCCCCGCCTGCTGGAGAAACACCGACCCTCTTATGAGCCGCAGAGCGCCGCCTGCTGGAGAAACACCGAACCTCTTATGAGCCGCAGAGCGCCGCCTGCTGGAGAAACACCGAACCTCGCCGAGCGAGAACTCGCTCAGTCAGCCATGTAAAGTGCAGGCGACGGGATCCTGTTCCCAGCGAAAGCGAATATTATTCCTGATCTTCATATTTCAGATCGCAGGGAAACATGGTTCAGTCCTGCTCGGCCTACGGATGCAAAAACAGATACCACAAAGATAAAAACATCTCCTTTCATAAGTGAGCTCCACTCCTGTGTGTTTCTATCGAGTCACAGTCGCAGCACCTTGTTGTTTTGTTTCCACAGTTCTCTGGTCGCTCTGCTCATGTTAACCTAGAGTTAATCAGCTGTAGTGTTAGTTTGCTTTAGTTTAGTTCACATCAGCGGCTTTCATCTGGCTTTATTGACACAAGCTGCATGTGTTTCCCAGTAAAGATCAGCTGGAATGTCATCTTTAATGTGTTTTGAGGCACGATATTTTTATTGTCCACTAGTTTTCAGTGATGCAATAATGTAAGCGATCATGCTGACTTCACTTATTTCCTCTCGTGTAGCTTCAGTGTGACTTTCTTTTGTGGAAAATAAAGTAAGGTAACGTATTTTGAGAAATGTCTCAGTGGTTTGTTATCCATACATTTCCCAGCATTCTTCAGAGTATCTTCTCTTGTGAAAGTCATACGTGAGGGCGAGTAAAACCATTTAAACATTATTTTTGATGACAGCAAATGCGATGCACATGAAATTGCTGAAATGAAGCGAAGCCTTATTTTACTTAGACTTAATTAAAAACAGTATTGACAGTGCTTGTGGGCATGATGAAGATATCAGCAAACAGAGATGTTAGCCGTCTTAGGTCGTGTTATAAATGATGTGTTTGTTATATTCCTGTGTATTAAGCGCTTGCTGTGCGGTTTGTCTACAGTATGTTCTCCTCCACTGAAGTCTTGTGTAGATTCTCTCTTCCCTTTACTTTCGGGTAAATAGCTGAGTGACAATCAAGTGATTTGCTGATGATCTGAATTAGTCCATCCTGAGGTTATTAGTGATTGCATGTAATCTGGTGTTTGTGAATAACTGCACAGGTTTCCTCTGGCCCGGCCGGACGTCTGTGGGAAATGGCTGGCCGCTATGAAGAGAAGAAACTTCAAGCCCAGCAAGTACAGCAACATCTGCTCTCAGCACTTCACCAGAGACTGCTTCAAGCGCGAGTGCAACAACCGTGTGCTGAAGGACCACGCCGTGCCCTCGCTCTTCTCCTCCAGCAGACTGCAGATGCAGGTCACGCTCCTTTACTCACACAGCCAGGCCAGAAGCAATACAAAGCTCTGGTGTCTTTGGGTGATATGCAGATGTGTGCTGTACGTGACGTCACACGACAGAATGTAGTGTTAGTCGTGCTCTCAAACTAGAAACGCCAAAAGAAAAACAGTAGGGATGTGCATCTCAGTACTGAGGCCGATGCGATACGGTTCACCCCTATTACGATTTCGATTCAACACAATGCGATTGCATGCAATACGATGCAATGGAAAACATATGATCGCACTTATTTCTTTGGTTCAGACAGACAGCAAGTCATAAATTAACTTGAGTGTCCTCTGACTTCTAACGCCTCGATGCCAGTTTCATAAAACTAGTTTACCAAATAAGCCAGGCTCATTTCAGTTAGTCTGACTCATTGTCACATGATTAGGTTCCATAAAGCAAATTTAACAAAGATCAAGCTCAGTCACTGTGATAACTCATGCTGGTAAACTAACCTGGTCCGGAGCAGGCTAACTGCGCTCCTCTAACACTGACCAACAGGAACGCATTGATATCACACTATTTATAGCCATGCAGCCTTTCTCTCTGCTTATATGACAGCTGTACCTTTATAGTTAACAGAACATTACAATATAAAATTGCTCTTTAAAGCATTAAAATCACTCAATTAAAAGTTAAAATAAAGAAAAATACTACATTTAAAACTGCTATTAGAAACATTAACTCATTTGAGCTTAGTAATTAAGACTGTATTAGCTTACATTTGATTTACCCATTACAATACTCCCTTTACAGTCAGTGCTGTCATAAAAATACACTTAAATGTAGGTTTAAACTTCTACAAAAGGCACATTTAATGTCCATCAACAAATATTTTAGCAAACTGCATATTTTACTCGGAATTATTGCGCTATTATTCTGTTGCGCTCCGTCTGTTTAGCGTGCAGCAGCACTCATTCACTCGTCCACTCCTGACAGTAAAATGGATATGTTTGCGTGACTTTCTAACATTTACAGATGAAAAATATACCTGTGACGTGTCAGTTATGCACTGAGGAAAACACAACGTGTCAAATGCATTAAACAGCACAGATATATTTGCTATGGTGGATCGATTGATCCATGATCGACATTAAGGACTTTAATCCCTGCTTTTCCTCGGTGTCCGTCGTGTTGTGATGCGTCATATTCACACAGAAGCAGTGATGAGAGAGCGCTTGAGAAACAGTTAAGAGAGGAGAAATCAACCTACACATAAAATATTAGTCACTTTCTAAACAATAAAAGTATAGCACATCCACTAGTAATTATTTTTTTTACCGAAGCAAATGTGTGAGAAACGATACATCGTGATATAAATGCCAACATGTATCCGATGCACACTTTTTAAAATCGATGCATTGCATTGTTAACTTGTTAATGCAGAAGCACCGAGCGAATCTGGGAATCATCCCATCCCTACTGCGCACAGATTTACACCTGAACTAACTTTAATGAGCATTTAAAGGTGTTGTTTCATCATTTCAGTACATTTGTATTTTTTCCTGATAATCTATTGTCAGAAGATTATCAGAAATGATCCAATATGGGCTCCAGAAAAGCTCCAGAATGGATCATTAAAGTGACCTGTAGCACTTGTGCCCAATACAGTATATCTACAGTTTCCTGAAGTCATACGATCCATTGGAAGATTTCAGTAAAACTGTCTCCTCCTCCTCGAATCTCATTGGATCTGACAGATATTCAGACTCCTTGCTCTTATTTGATGTCTGTAATGTCCAGCCAAGCACAGCTTAAAGTGAGTCTCAAGTAAATGACAGTGAGTTTGCCAGTTAATGAGTTTAGTTTTTGGGTTAATGGACTCATTAATGTCATTCCCAGCTGGTATAACTGGTGTAAAACAGTTGTTTCAGTACAAGGGTTGGGTGTCCGATGAGCAGACGTCTTTCACTTTTACCCGGGATGCATTTGAAATGTAAACAGCAATAATAGAGTGTGGTTTGAGTTATTGGAGTTTAGCATTGAACTGCTGTGATTGGGTTATTGGAGACGGATGGACTGGGGATGAGGCGTTATGAAAGTTACAGAATGTTTCAAACTCTAATTTTTCCAAAGATCAGGTAAAACACGGCCCTGTCCCAAATGCTGTGAGCGCAGGTCTGCATCAAGCGCTCCATTCGGGACACGGCCTTCGATTTCCCATCATGTGAGTTAGAGCTGGGAGATTTTTATGATTTTATTGATTAATTTGAATTTAATGTTTTGCCACGATTTTATTTTTTATAAATCGAGGAATCGCAATTTTAAATATAGAAATATTACCAAACGTTAGTATTAGACACTTTGGCAATATGCCAATGATAACAGTAAAGAGAAAAGAACGATCCAACCGCATGTCGGCGCACGTGATGTGATGCAAGTCACCTTTATTTATTTATTTATTAACAATACAGATTGTGTCAAAGCAGCTTCACAGTATTAAATAGGAAAAACTCATATCGCTAGGAGCCATTCACACAGAATGCAGTTTTGTGTTGACAAAGACGCGAGCAGTGGAACAGAAAAGCATGCAAGAAGATGGGAGTGAACTTCTGTTAACTTGAGCGCTGCATGTTTTTAGACTACTGTTTCATGCATTAAGACGCGACACAACAGTCAAACGCGTCCATCTTTACTAGGGCTGGACAAAAAAAAATCGATTTTTCGATTAATCATTTTTTTAAATGACGTCGATTCGATATCGATTCTCAAAAGCCGCAAATCGATCTTTTCCGGGATTTATTTCAGCACACATTTAAAACAAGATCTGATTACCGTGAATCTTATCATTAGTCTTCTCCACTAGATGTCACCCTTATTTACCTTGCGCGATGTTACAACAGAAAGCCTGTCATTCATTTTCATTCAGCACTTATCATGGCCATACGCGTGAT